TTACCAAGCTAAGCCTGCATTTAAACCCTTGCTCCCCTGCTCCAAGCCTGGCCTTTAGAAAGCAGCTTCCCTTCCTCAGAGCAGCGCAGGGGGCATGGGAATTGCATTCTTCCAAGCAGCAGCTGTTGCAGAGAGCGAGATGCTTAAAAAGAGCCGCACAGTGTCCTAATTACCTGTGGCAAGGAAAACATCTGTGTGGGAAAAGTAATGAAATTAATTCTAAAGTCTAGCAGTTGCCTACATTAATTGATGTTAATTAATGCCAAATTACAAGATACTTCCTATGAAATTGCATCATAAACTCACCCGAATTGAATATGGAAAGAGTTCATCATGCTTAATGTTGTTACAGCAAGCCCCAAGGGGAATAAGAATGATTGGTCCCTCAATGTGAAGTGCTGGCGCCAGTTTCTTTCTGTTTCCATTAGGAGGGGAAGGAGAACAAACCAGGAGCAGTTTACCACAGGCAGGCCACTGGGAATTGATCAGTTCCCCTTCAGCTTGCAAATGTCACTTTGAACCTCTCCAGGAAAGACATGGTTTCAAGACCTCTTCCTGGGGCTTTTCTTGGGTCCATCGGTTGTACATTTTGTAATTCTCAGCTCAAGAACGGCTCATTGCACAGCTCTGCCTCAGTATGTGGCACGGGGAGTGAAGAGAGAGAGAACAAGCAAAGGAATTAGAGATAGTTCTCTAATTCTTGCAAGCAGGATCCCACAAGCCCACCATGACCCCTGGCCCCTTTCCCCGGCTGAGAGGTGCTGACCAAAGATTTGACACAGGTTGTCTGCCTCTCTCACATCACTGCCTCTACGCAAGTGTTGACATCACATATATAACTTTTATTCATTTTCCCCATGTAAACATACATATGTAGACATCTATATATATACCACTTGCACAAAATCGTGTCCATATGCACATATTTTGGTAACCTACTTTTTAAAAACTTTTATTTTGGAATAAATTCAGATAAACAGAGAAGTTACCAAGATAGTGCAGCTTTACCCGGCTTCTCCTAATGTTAACGTCTTATACAACCATGTTCTCTTTCTCAAAGCTAAGAAATTAACATTGATACAGCATTATTAATTGGTAAGCTATTTTTATGATATAAAATGCATTAAGCATTTCTGTAATTCCTCACATATAGTCTAAAGGCAGAATTTTAATAGCAAACTATGCATGTGCCACAGTCTATTTAGTTGTTCCTCAATTGTTGGCCTTTTTGTTTTCTCTTATTTTTTTAAATTATAAACAACACTATGATGAATATCAAAGTAGATAAATCTTGGCATAGATCATTCATTATTTCTTCAAGTCGAATTCTCAGAAATGAACCCGAAAAGATGTTGATCCACATTGCCAGATGACCCTGCACAAAAATACAAACGGACAGGATATACCTTTTTAAAAATACAAACATACAGGATATACCTTTTTAAAAAAACAAACGTACAGGATATACCTTTTTAATCTAGGTATATCCATTTATACTTGGAAGCCAAAAAACATGCTTAACAAAAATTGGCCCCAACCAATTGGTTGCATTATTTCCACTATGCAACATAGTGGAAATAAACCAGACTTGGAGGCCAACCAACCCCGTTTGAAACCGTGTACTGTACGGTTACACGGTACTATATGTACTAACCGCCGTTTCTATAATCTCTTGGAGTTTCATTCTCTTTATCTGCAAAGTCAGTTGATAAATTATACTCTATAGTATTGTGAAGATTAAATGTACCAAATAAGTGTGAACATGCTTTAGAGTACTTGGCACATAGATGTTCAACAAATATTAGTTTCCCTGTTCTTTTAATTTCTCCCCAGATCCCTCAGATTCATAATTTTTGTATAGTTGAGTTATAAATGTGAAAAGTTTATATTTTCCATCTTATTCTTGCTCAGGGACCTTTGAAGGGGAAGTTGAGGTCTTAAGAAAGAAACTATTAGACACCATTATAGATAAAACAAGCACTGTGTATTCATCAAGAAGTCCTCACGGGGTGGCAGTCTGAGAAATTCTAACTGGAAGTTGTATTAGTAAATTGAAGCCTGAGACTTCCTAATTCTGAACCCTTGATTCAAATTGTTTTCATTCATTATCTCACATAACAAGAAGCACAGAGACAGGGCAACCCTGGGTTCAGTATAATCAGTACCTCAATGATGTCATCAGGGAACAGGTCCCTTCCACCTCTTCATCATACTCATTGTGTAAGTTTAACTCTAAGACTCCTCCATGCACAAGAAGGCTAGAGCAGTCCCACACATCATGTTGACTCAGTGTTGTATGGTAGCAGAAGAAGGTCTTCTGTGCTGTGCCTCCCCGTAGCCCCTTAAAAGATCTCTTTCACTTCTTATTTACTAGAACTGGTTTAAATGGCTTTCCCTAAAGCAAATGATGGCAAGTAGAGTGGGCATAGACTCAAGAGGATTATTCCCTGCACATCAGAGCTTCTGATTCATGTGGAAGAAAGATGAGCCACCAGGTCCAGTACTGGCTTTTCTGGCAAAGAGGCAGAGAGGAATGAGCATTGGATAGGTCACTGATAGTACCTGATAGTGAAATATAACTGTAATACTCAAATTCAGTTTCCTTAAGGACAAACTGTGTGCCCCAAACTGATCTAATCATTGTGAAAAGAAGCAAAAGAGAAAATAGGAACATTATAGTTGATAGTAACAACTGACATTTGTACAACTTTGAGTTTCAAAGCATTTAGCATATATATTATTTCAGTAAATCCTTAGAGCCAAACTACAAGATAGTGGACATTGGCATCCTCATTTAATAGATGAAAGTAGCAAGACTCGGGAAGATAATTTCCTTTGAATTATGCAGCTATGACCACACCAGAACTCAAGCCCAGGTCTCACAGATGCCAATCTCCATTTCTATGACCCTGAGTTGCCTTTTGAAAAACAGAAGTCAGCTAAAGCTGTAGAAGGGTCTGATGGAGTGTGAAATTGTGAGGTGCAGGTTTTGTGTGGCATGGGGAGAACTGTTCTGGGAAGGGGTGAGTCCCAGAAATTCTCTTCAGGGAGAAAGATCATGAGTTATGCCCTAAAATGAAACTATAAGAATGTCTAAGAAAGGAGATACGGAAGGGAGTGTAAAAGGCTTTTTTTTTTTTTTTTTTTCCGGTACGCTGGCCTCTCAGCGTTGCGGCCTCTCGCGTTGCAGAGCACAGGCTCAGCGGCCATGGCTTACTGGCCCAGCTGCTCCGGGGCATGCGGGATCCTCCCAGACCGGGGCATGAACCCGTGTCCCCTGCATTGGCAGGCGGACTCCCAACCACTGCGCCACCAGGGAAGCCTGAAAGGCTTTTCTTTAGTTTCTCTTTGGAGGACAAGATGGGTTAAAATACTTGAGCGCTATCGCCATCACCACACATGGCAGCGGGATAAAGGAAGATTGTGGATAAAGGAAGATTGTAGATAAAGCTCTCCTTCCCTCTCCTTAGAGCTCATCAGCAGCTACGTCAGCCATTGGTCAGTTGGAGCAAATATGCATGCCGCCCCCTAGCGGCACTCCTTGTAGAATACAGGTTTACCCAAGTTCTTCAGTAAAAGTAGTGCTAGAAATTTCCTTCAGGGAAGTCAATTAGTGAATCCTAATATCCAACTCAACATACGATTGCCTACCCCCCATTTCATGTAAATAATCATGTCCTGATTTCTTCATTTGGAAGAGTGGATTTCTTCATACATCTTTGATGTCCTAAAATTAAACTTACTCATTAAGCACCAAAAAAAAGTTAAAATAACTTCCTTTTTCATTCAAAAAGATATATTCCAGTAAAGTGGTATGTTCCAAGGAATATTTATTTATTACGTACTATGTGCCTGGAACAGTATTAGAATCTGGAGGTCTAGGAGGGAACAACAAAGACAAAAGAGGTCTCTGTCTTCATGGAGCTTATATTCTAACAGGGAGAGGGGCAGAAATAAATCATGAGCAAGGTGACTTTAGATTGTGATAAATTCCATGAAGGGAATTAACAGGATGGAGTGTTATCGAAAGTAATCATGGAAAACCCTCAGAAGTAACAGTAAGCTGAAATCTAGACCTTCTTTGGGGAACATCCTGGGGAGAAGCAGTTTAGGCGGAGAGAATACAAATGTAAAGCCTCTTTAGTGGTCGAAAGTTTGGCCAAATTCCTGAACATATTGCAGTTTAGAGTAGAAGAGTCACAGGGAGAGAAGAGACTAGCATGAGGGGCAGTTGAAGCAGTGGTGGTAGAGGGTTTGAATTTATTCTCAGTGCAAGGAGGCAAAGGGACTTTTAAGTGACATCTGATTCATAGAGAGGGCAGAATAGTTGTGGTTGAAAAACAGTGACAGCCTCCCTCATACAATATGCTTCCAGCAACAGGGATCAAATCTATTGTTATTACCGGTATGTTTATCACCTGCTATAGTCTCAGGTGAGATGCAGGGTCTTAGTTTACTCACCTATAAAATGAGGGCAAAGTTTTTGAGTTGGGAATCTCCTCTCAATTCTGTTTTATTTCCAATTAGTAATAGAAGAAAAACCTTCATCTTCACATAGCACCTTATTGTTTATAACAACAGCACTTCTACCGTGAGGTGATTGATGATTACACATATGTGTGTGTTTCCCAGTTTACCAAAGGTTGAAGTGTGGAGGTGAAGCCTATAAAGGAGAAAAAATAACTAAGAAGGCACAAGTATTATTGCCAGCTTTTGAAAATATTTTCATTTGGGTTTGGAAGGAAAAAATTTAATTAACAGGAATTTAATATTCTAGGATGACAAGAGTTGGTGGAGGCACTGGGAAATAGTGATGGTGGTGTTGACAGCAAGTGAGTAAAATAATACTGATAATACTTTTAACGACAATAGTAACAGTAATGTAGTGAATAGAGAATGTGAGGTTTGTGGAAAGGCTTGAAGACAGCGAGAAAGGTAGAAGGTGTCCACTCTGACTCTAACATGCTGTGTGTATATCACCCCACCCTCGTTTATTTCAGATTCACAATACCTAACCTGCGGAATGCAGAACTGCACCGAGGCCAGCAGAAACAAACCTTTCCCAGGCTACATTGACCCAGACTCTTTGATTGTCCAGGATGATTATGTGTTTGTTCAGGTATGAAAGATCCACTTCCATTGACTGTGTCAAAGACATTTCCCTTCCCTGCTTCTGTCCCTAATGCAGCCCCTTTGCCTGCTTACACTCCCTGAAAAGCCATAAAGCAAGAAAAAAAAAGCATTATTATTATTATTTTTTTAACAACTTTATTGGAGTATAATTGCTTTACAGTGGTGTGTTAGTTTCTGCTGTATAACAAAGTGAATCAGCTGTATGTGTACATATATCCCCGTATCTCCCCCATCTTGCGTCTTCCTCCCTCCCACCCTCCCTATCCCACCCCTCTAGGTGGTCACAAAGCACCGAGCTGATCTCCCTGTGCAATGTGGCTGCTTCCCACTAGCTATCTATTTTACATTTGGTGGTGTATATATGTCCATGCCAGTCTCTCACTTCGTCCCAGCTTACCCTTTCCCCCCCACCACCAAGGCATTGTTTTTTTAACAAAAGGAACATTACCAATTTGAAGCTTCTATACTAACAGAATAGTAATTCCTTCCTTGGGGTGGTATCTGGAGGACTTGTCAATGTGGGGTGCCTGGAGGTGGTGAGAGGCAGAGCCGATAGAGCACGATCAGCCTCTGTTGTTTACAGGCACGACTGAGATCAGGGTCAAGAGAATTTAGATGAGATGCATTCAGACAGGTTTCTCACCTCTGCAAGAGTGAGAAACAGCTTGAGAAGCTGAGGGTTCAGGAGTGGTTAGAAGAGAGAAGGAACAAGAATGCTTTGTTTCTTTTCACATTTAAGGACAAATTTAGGCTTGTTTGGACAAAACATTTAAAAATTCCTTTACTGCTTTCCATGCTAAAATTGACAAAGGTACAATAGCTAAATAGTTTATATATATAAATAAACCTACAGTTTCACTGTGATTGAGACATTCTAGATACTAGTATGTTTACTTGGACAAGAAATCATAATTTAGAATATTTAATCCCATGTATTGGGAAGTAAATGTTCAAATCCCTTACTATCAGCCTATGTACTTTTAAAGTAGTTCACAGTTACACACACACACACACACACACACACACACACACACACACTTCCTTTTCCTCTAGGAAAATGAATAATGAGCACTCTGATAACTTCAGCATCAAATTATCAAGTGACATTAAAATGGGAAATGGTTACCCATATTGGTTCTGTGTATAAATGGTTTCTCTATCAGTGTTGCTTCCAGGGACCTTTCCTGTTTTCTAGCAACAGTTTATAATCCACATATATGACTCACAAATGAAAATCAATTGTGCATTTAGAGTTTTATATATTTTCTACCCAGGCCACTATGAACATATAACCCGACACTAGGACCAAGAGGTGGTCTGGCCACGTCATGGTGAATATAACTTTCTAGTCACATTTTTACGTGTCTGGTGAAAATTCACCCAGAGCATTTGTTGACATTCTGAGTATGCAAACTCCAGATGACTTCAAAGTCCAGATGTTTACATGGGTTAAGAGTAGCAACAGGAATTCATAGAAACTGAGAGTAAAAAGGTGGTTTTCAGGGACTGGGGGCTAGGGATATGGGGAGATGCCGGTCAAAGGGGGTACATGTCCAGCTATATGATGTATAAGTAATAAACAGCATAGTGGCTATACTGTATTATATACTTGAAAGTTGTTATGAGAATAGATCTGAAATTTTATCACACACATAGACACAAAATCTTAATTAAGTAAAAGGATGGAGGTGTTAACTAACCTTATATGAGGTAATCATTTCACAATATATGCATATCAAATCATCATATTGTACACTTTAAACTTGCATGTGCTATATGTCAATAATATCTCAATAAAGCTGGGGAAAAAACAGTGGCTCCAAAGGAGAAAGAGAGTGGCAGTGCACCGCTCACAGCCTGCACCTCGTGGTGCTCAGCTGAGTTGGAGACCACAGCGCTTCTCACCCTCCCTCAGACTCACAGCGTTCTTTGGGCTGTACATTCTGGGCAGACCTGGGGGAGGCAGCTCGCCATTTGTTCTCTTCGGGGAGGTTGAGATCTGGAACGATTTTGAACCACGATCCTGGCTTGGATTTCCATCTAACGCATCAGCAGCACTGCTGTGTGTGGGACATGCTCACAGCCAGCAGTGTGACTGCACAGAGCCGGAATTCAGTGCCGAGATGGGCGCTCCCGTTCTGCCGCTCTGTGACCTGGACCATTCCCTTCTCATCTGGCACAGGGACCTGTTTGTGTGGTCAAAGTCTTGGGGCTAGATGGCTGGGCTGCTGAGGGACACAGATCCAATATACCCTAAGGCTTGTATTATTAAAAAAAAAAAATTGCTAAAAATGTCTCCTGACTTCTGCACCGCAGGGCAAATTGAAGAATTGTATTTTTGTGCAGTGGGTTCACTTTGGGCCTCTGAAATCACATACACTGTCTAAGTTGTTTTTGAACTGAATGCCAATTCTTTACACTGGCCCACAATACTCACTTACGCTGTTGTGTTGGCAGCTACCCCCTTGCATTCAGGGGCTGTCCTTCTGTGACCTGTAACTGTCGTAGTAGCTCTTCTTACACCCTTTATGTTTACGCTCCAGCTGACATCAGGAGGACGGCCACACTACTACGTTTCCTACCGAAGGAATGCGTTTGCCCAAATGAAGCTGCCCAAATATGCTTTGCCCAAGGTATGGCCTGAATCAATTTCTCTATTTCAGTGTCTACTCTTTTTCCCAAGGACTCTTTCAGTCTCTTGTAGTTATTTATTTCTTTTCATCCCCCATCTCTGTTTCTCAAGTTCACTTCTTTACTTTCCTTTTTGCCAACCTCCTTATCCTTCTTTCTCTCTCAGTGGTCCATCCCTCCCTCCCCCACCTCTCCCTCTTTCTAATTCTTTGGAATTCTTGCTGTAGGAGCATCTGAGTAAATTGATAACTGACGTGCTTTTGCTTTTCAAGTGGGATGTATTGGTTTTCTAGTAGGACAGAAACTATGCTTTGGATACACAGTATATCAGTGCAACAGGTATGATACATATCTATATACCATTTTGTTGTTATTAATCATGGAGAGGTGATGCGGCGATGTAGCGTCCGACATTTGCTTTCTTTCCCAGTGGAACTTACGAGACTGGTTTTCTTTAGGGTTCGGAGACACAGCTAATTTTTTAGACTTTCCCAAAGACATAGTCCTTTAAAAAGAGTGGCAGAAAAAAGTTAAAGACTCCCAACCGCTAACATCCCCAGACTCTCTCCACAAACACTGAAGAACTGCGTTAATATGGAGCGCCACCTAGTGGAAGTGAAACTGACTTGGGAGCTCAAAGCTGTGGATTTGAGGTCTTGCTGCCACTGTGATGTATTTTAAGTAGCCAGAAATTGTTAATGTATTGTGCCTTTTTTTTTCTAGCAACAACCACTGACATGTGAGTGTTTTTATTTTTAAATTTTTTATTGAAGTATAGTTGATTTACAGTATTATATTAGCTTCAGGTATACAACATAGTGAGTCAATATTTTTATAGATTACAAAATAGTGGTTATATTTTCCTGTGCTGTGCAATATATCCTTGTTGCTTATTTATTTTATACATAATAGTTTATATCTCTTAATCCCATACCTCTATCTAGCTGCTCCACCCTTCCCTTTGCCCACGGGTAACCACTAGTTTGTTCTCTGTATCTGTGAGTCTGTTTTTTTTTTTTTTTAATATACATTCATTTGTTTTACTTTTTAGATTCCACATATAAGCTATAACATAGAGGATTTGTCTTTCTCTTTCTGACTTATTTCACTAAGCATAATACTCCCTAGGTCCATCCATGTTGTCACAAAAGGCAAGATTTCATTCATTTTTATGGCTAATATTCCATCACACACACACACACACACACACACACACACACACACACACACACATCTTCTTTATCCATTCATCTGCTAAAGGCACTTTGGTTGCCTCCATATCTTGGCAATTGTAAATAATACTGCTATGAACATTCAGATGCATTTATCTTTTTGAATTAGTGTTTTTGTTTTCTTTGGCTATATACCCAGCAGTGGAATTGCTGGATCATATAGTAGTTCTATGTTTAGTTATTTGAGGAAATGCCATACTGTTTTCAACAGTGACTGCACCAATTTACATTCCCACCTACAGTGTAGGAGGCTTCTCTTTTCTCTATATCCTCCCGAACATTTGTTATTTGTAGACTTTTTGATGATGGCCATTCTGACAGGTATGCCTTGATCAATAGAACAAGGGAGATGTGTGTGGCTGTAAGAAGGGGACTGTGTAGGTTTAAACATAGCTCAGCTTTGAAAGCTTTGGTTGAACAAAGAACATAAATAACTGCTTTTTCAATTGTGTTTTCATGACTCTTCGTCTTGTATTTTTATCCATGACTTTGTAGTTTGCTATCTTGGACCAACATCAGCTACCTGCCCAGGGAATCAGTGATAGATATAGCACAAGGGCGCTGCAGGTCTCCTCTCCCAGGAGAGACAGTGGCTTCTCCAGGCAGAATTCTCGTCCTTGGTCATCACTCTGCCCCTAACCCTAGCATAGTGAAAAGTGAGCTGTAAACCTCAGCCCATTAGAGATAACACACATTAAATTACACTATTAACTGCAAAGAACTACTTCCATATTAGTAGTTATTTTTTTCAGCTGCTAAGAGATTAATGACAGTGGTAATTGCCCAGAACTATATGCCTACGCCTGTGTGTGTTTAAATGCTCCTTGCTCTTGATTCGGCTTAAAACATTTTCCAAAAAGACAAACACAGCCTTGGAGTTGTGCCTTAGATGAGAATTGGGTAAAGTCAGTATGTAAAAGAAAAATTGAGTGTTGTTAAAATTACCCTTGATAATCTTTTAGGGAGGTCCATGAGGGAGATGATCATGTTACCTTGGTAAGTCCAACAGAGCTGGTGGTTGTTTTGCTTTGTTTTGTTTTTGTTGTTTTGTTTTTTTTTCACTTGAGCACTGAAATAAATTGCTGTCTTTGACCAATAAATGAAGGAGTTGGCTTGCAAGATTTTCACCTTTAAAAACAAGAACATACTCAATGCAGTGAGATGCTCCTGTTCAAGAGACATGTGGGAATTGGGACCACATCGGGAAACAGCAGTTTCAAGCCACTCATCTCATGCTTACTTACTCTTGGGAATATACTTTTTGAGTGGAATAAGTTTCAGCCAAACCAGAAGCTTCTTGCTGCAGATTTGAGGCTAGAACTTGAGTCTCCTGACTCCCAAACTGGCATTCCTTGTATTACACTTTTCTACTCTCTAAATAAATTAATAGATTCTATTACTAAAAGGGAGCAGCACCCACCCCCCAAATTTTTATATACTGAGGAGCATCCAGAGAAAAAGTCCCATTGATCTGTGCAGCCTCAGAATGGTATTTTAAAACAAAGAAACCACTTGGCCCCTTGGCTGGAGTGTTGGGAAACACATACTGTGCGTTTCTTGTTCATAGCCATCACGCCAGTCACTGTTGACAGCTGCCCCCAGTGGCATCTTGCCAATCTGGAAGGAAGAGTTTTAGTCTGAGCCTCAATTGGCTGTCTGGCCCCTCCCACACTCTCCCAGATGAACAGGTTCCATTAGTCAGCCTCATCTGAGGTCCAAGGGTAGAATGGGGTGATTAATTTAGCTTGTCCCCAGAAAAATCAGAACCACTACAGCGAATGAATGTACTATTTGGTCCAAGTGGGTGTTTATTATTTAAGGCAATGAGATGCCTCATTACAATCCCATTACACCTTCAACGAGAAGCCCCAGCTTGAGTGGAGTGATCCATGGCAAAGATGCATTATTTCAGGACCCTCTATCAAAGCAGGGCTGCTGCAGCTGGAAAGGAACAAAGCTTCATGCTCACCAAAGGAACTGAGACAAACCTGCACTTACATGCTCAAATTTTCTTTAATCATCCCCTGCCATTGTTTCAACTCTTGAAAGACTGAGGTTACCCTGAGCTGTATTAAAAAAAAAAATAATATAATGGTAAAGATGACCAGAGAGGGAGGTGGGGAGATTTTAGTATTGCTGTTACCATTAAGAGTGTGAGGCCCTCCAGACAGGGAGACCTAGTGACAGTTTTCCTCCCTTACCGTACTTGGAGCTCATTCTGAGCTACTCAAGTGAGATAAATGAGGCAACACATATGAAAGTGCTTTGAGCATTTTGGAGGACAGATACACTATAAAAGTAAGGTAATATTAGTATGGATCTAGTTGTCTGTGTTGGAGAAGATCGATGTGAACCGGGGTGTGGGTGATGAAAAGGCTGCTTGATTCACAGCGAGAGACCCTAATTCCAGACCTAGATCTGTCATCCCCCTGCTTTGAACCTTGGGCTGGTTTGTCAATTTCTTTTTTTTTTTTTTTTACAATTTTAAAATACAGAGCTTAGATTCACAATAATATTTTCTCAAACTCATTACTCAATAAAATGCCCTTAGAGATGCTTCATGAAAATTTGGTTCTATGATCGTGAGTTTAAAAAAAGAAATCAACTCCATTCCATGCTCCTTGCCTATAGACTAACAGAAGCTCGCTGATACGTTAAAGGCTCTAGGATGTCCTGTGAGCAAGAAAGCTGTATAGTTAGCATTAATCAAAACGTTTTACAAAAGGATCCATTCAAAAAAAAATCTATTAAAATCGAACAATAGTGGTGTCCTATGGAACAGATGTTGGGAAGTGCTCTAGAACATCTCAGAGTTCACTTCTTGGTCTAAAATTTTGTATCTCAGTATAAGCTTTCACCATAAAGTGCCATTTTGGGTGAAATAACATATTTTCCTGATACAGGCGCGTGTAGGCAAGAAGAGAAAGGAAAGATGGCATTTAAATATGTCAGACGTTTCAGTTACAGTATTTAAGACCAACGTAGTTTTTAAAATTTTTTTTTTATTTTTACATCTTTATTGGAGTATAATTGCTTTACAATGGTGTGTTAGTTTCTGCTTTATAACAAAGTGAATCAGTTATACATATGTTTCCATGTCTCTTCCCTCTTGCGTCTCCCTCCCTCCCACCCTCCCTATCCCACCCCTCCAGGCGGTCACAAAGCACCGAGCTGATCTCCCTGTGCTATGCGGCTGCTTCCCACTAGCGATCTACCTTACGTTTGGTAGTGTATATATGTCCATGCCTCTCTCTTACTTTGTCACAGCTTACCCTTCCCCCTCCCCATATCCTCAAGGTTTTTAAACAGTCTCTTCAGTGTAATTAGATTATATATAGAGAGAGATCTGCCCTTGGCCCTTATCTAGCCACGGCCATTTAATCTGTTTTTGCTCTGTTACTTGTTCTCTAAGTGACGTAAGTACTTGATGCATCTGTGTTTTGCATTCCACACCAATCAAGGAAAAGTTTGAGTGGGCTGCGGTAGTATGGTTGATTTACTCTGGCCCCTAGGATTATTTAATGCGTCCAAAGGCACAGTTATGCAGGGACCAGGTTACTGCTGGTCCAGGTTACTAAAATATTTAAACTTGAATTCAGGGATGAAGCTACATCCTGCTAACAAGGAAGGAAACATGAATTGGGAGTAGTTGTTTAAGGGTTCTAAATGGTAGGGTAAGGACTTTGATCTTTGTCCTATAGGAAATGGGGGGCCGTAGAAGGTTTGGCCCTCAGTGGATGAATGGCCTTTGGACCAATTCCCTCAATTAGAAAGAAACAAAACATTAGGATGAACCACTTTTTGTTAAGTGTATTAGTTAGCACCCTAATATTTGCAATGAACAGAAAGGCCAAATCAACCTTGCTTAATCAACAAAGGGGGTTTAGGGTTTGCTTAACAGAAAATAGCTAGCATGTATGGAGCAGATGCTAACACCAGGCACCGTGGTTAAATGCTTAACACTTACTAACTGATTTAATCCTCACAACTCCACGAAGGGCATATTATCATCTCTGGTTTGCAGGTGGAAATCCTGAGGCACAAAGTTCCGTTCGCACAGCTGAATGACAGAGCCGGGATTTGAACTCAAGTAGTTTTCTTTCAAAGACCATTCTTTTCATCATTTTGCTCTACTGTCCTCTCTAACTAAACAAGTTTACGGGTGGGCAGGCTCCTTAGATATCCACATTCAGAGACTCAAAGACTATCATAGAATTTGGACCATCTCTCTCCACCTTTTGAGCCTATTTTTCCGAGATTGGCTTATCCTCTGCCTCCAAGCTATGTCTCCATCAGATCTAGACTTTATTTTTATTCCAACTGCTTACAAACGAACAGTAGAAAATAACTTTTTTCTCTCTAATAATTCCACAGTCATTCTCGCATCATGTCTTACTGATTTTGCCATCACTGATCCAATCACTGTCATCAGGAAAATGGAATTTTCTGAATGCTAGGCCTACAAGATCACTTCTGGTGCCGAGGGTGGGAGAAAGTAGCAAAGACTGAGCACAGGGAGGAAATTTATCTGAGAAGCATGAGGATGTTTTTTCAAAGAACATCAAGCTACAGTTGCCAGAGGAAATGTACATAGGCGTTGGGCTGATATAAGATGTGGCCAACTTTTATACCAAACCTTAGTTTGCATTATCAACCAAATTGAATTCACGGGCAGGATTCATTTTTGACCTCCCCACTTCTTCTATAAAAACGTTCTCAAACTCTAGAGTATGGCAGTAAGGCCTGAGAAGGTGTCAGGAATACAAAACCCTTTGGATAAGGACTTCTTCCTTCCGGAATCATATGAGTTCACTATGGTCAGTTTTCAAGAGGAATGAGAGACTTGCTCCTCTAAGTCTAAAGCAAAGTTGAAGCTGAATTGCTGATTGATTGAGAGAACGTGGGCATATATTACAATGGGAAATTTTGAAGTTAGGTAGAATTTTCCGGCCCTGGAGTTGTTGCCAAGGAAGATTGACAGACCTCCTGAACCTTTTCAAGGAGAGTGGATGATCCCTCTGGGAGGATCTGAGCCCTGAGCTACACAAAGGCCAAGAACCTTTCCAGGTTGTTCTTTTACCTTTAGCCTTATACATAATTCTGTTTTTGTTTTGCTTTTTGGTTTTTGAATGTGATACCAATGTGTACCACCTTGGGCGAAGGGGGGAAGGCTGCCGAGAGCAATGAGCGGGATCTCCTGAAGGAGACAGCAGGCCTTGGTTTGAGACATCAAGCCTTGGTCTATGCCAGCCTCTCCCTGAACACCCACTCCTCTGGAGTTCTGAATGGGGAGAGAAGGGATTTGGAATCCCCACGGCAGGGACATCTGCTCACTGCCTCCACATTATGTCTGCCTTGTTTCTATCTTCCAGGACAACCGGAGTCTGAAAACGTCATCATTTACGCAGACTGTTTTTCCCTGTTTCATTTAAGGTTTCCTGGGGAACTTCTCAGGGTACAGGTTTTGATAAGCTAAGTCCTTGGACACTCATTAACCTGAAGATTAGTGCTCTGGGGATCTCACGTGAACATTTTTCCTCCGGAACCTCTAGGGGTTGCTGAGCCTTAGGGAAGTGCTTCTTAAACATTAATGTGCATATTAATCATCCATGGATCTTATTAAAATACAGATTTCTATTCGATAGGTGAGGCCTGAGGTTCTAACAGACTTCCAGGTGATGTCCATGCTGCTGGTCCCTGGACCACAGTGAGAGATGCAAAGCTTGTCTGTTTTCTCTCTGCCCCTCGTATTTGCCCCAAATATGCCTTCTGAACATGTACTGTGTTTGTGCTTGGCAAATTTATCAGGATGCCTGATTCTCCAAACTCATACATATTTGAGAAATTATCCTTCAAATTATCTAATGAGGTAATTAAATTGTAACTGAGCTACCAAGCATCTCCCTGTCCTATTTTCTGATGACCTTACTGCCTAACCTCATGAATGACAAAGGAAATATGTGACCAACACTTAACTATTACGTCACAAATATGCTATAGGAAAATCTCTGTCCTCCCTCACAGTACCTATGAGCCTATTCTGGTATTCTTCATCAGATTCCACTCTGTGGACGCGTGCCAGTTGCATTTATAAAACTCTTTTTCCTGTTTCCTTCCCTGCGTCTTTCCTCAGGACATGCATGTCATCAGCACTGATGAGAACCAAGTGTTCGCAGCGGTCCAAGAATGGAACCAAAACGACACATACAACCTCTACATCTCAGACACCCGTGGTGTCTACTTCACTCTGGCCTTGGAGAATGTCCAGAGCAGCAGAGGCCCTGAGGGCAATGTCATGATCGACCTCTATGAGGTATGTCACGAGGCACGTGTGGTCCTGAGCCACTGCAGCGCTGGGACTGGCAGTTGAAGTCCGCAAGTTGGCCGTTTCCTCAATCATTTTAATAACTAGTTCCTTATGTGGCCTCATTCCATGGGGGAGAGGGAGGCGGGGTTGCAGAACATTTTTATTGGTTAATTTGCAATCCACGAAACAGCTCTGGGAGGGATTCTTTTTTTTTTTTAATTTTTAAAAAATTTTTTAAATTTTTTATTTTTTAACATCTTTATTGGAGTATAATTGCTTTACAATGGTGTGTTAGTTTCTGCTGTATAACAAAGTGAATCAGTTATACATATACATATGTTCCTATATCTCTTCCCTCTTGCGTCTCCCTCCCTCCCACGCTCCCTATCCCATCCCTCTAGGTGGTCACAAGGCACTGAGCTGAGCTGATCTCCCTGTGCTATGCGGCTGCTTCCCACTAGCTATCAGTTTTACATTTGGTAGTGTATATACGTCCATGCCACTCTCTCACTTTGTCCCAGCTTACCTTTCCCCGTCCCCATAAAACAAATACCGTATGCTAACACATATATATGGAATCTAAGAAAAAAAAAAAAAAAGGTCATGAAGAACCTAGGGGTAAGATGGGAATAAAGACGCAGACCTACTAGAGAATGGGAGGGATTCTTTGTTGACCAAGTCCACAGGCCATGAAGCCCCAGAGGGCTTGGAAAGTATCTAGGGAAGCAGTCAAACAATTAAAGGGTTTGAATAAGAGTGAGCCTAGTGTGAAATTTGAAAACAGTCTTGAGGGGCTAATAGGGTGTCAGGGGTGATGGCAGTACTCCCTTACATCTCTCTGAAGAAAGAACTAAGAGGATGTCTTTGCATTGCATCAGAAGACACTCCCTTGTCAAATTCTTTTCCCATTTAGGTCATTACAGAATACTGAGAGAGTTCCCTGTGCTATACAGTAGGTCCTCGTTGGTTATCCATTTTAAAGATAGCAGTTTGCACATGTCAATCCCAAACTCCCAATCTATCCCTCTTATATGTATAACTGAATCACTTTGCTGTACAGCTGAAATTAACATAACATTGTTAATCAACTATACTCCAATATAAAATAAAATTTAAAAAAATGATTACAGCCAAATATTGAAAAAAAAAAAAAGACACTCCCTCGTACTTGACGACCTTTCTGACGTGTGAGCTAAGATCAATACGTCTTTCTTTTCCTAAAGAGGGGTGAAGAGGAGAAACAAAAAGCAGAGTTTACTAGATTTCCCTAAGGGAACTCTGACCCTTTGTTTCTCAGAATGACCAGCTTCAAAATAAAATCATATGTTGGATCAGTTAGCTTTTATGACAAACACCAACACTTTAACGGCCATTTAAAGCACAGTCAGGTGAAAAGAAAGCTGCTATCTGGGGATGGATTTTAGCCATTTGTCGGTCTTGTGCTATGAAGGATTTATAATAGGATATAATGAGCCATTATGAAACATATTCAGAATTTGGGAAGTGCAATCATACACATATTCGATCTGAAAAAGAATTATAAAACTTATTCAAATATGTTCAGTCATAATGATGTCATCATTTGGTGAAGGATAAGTTCAGAGAGTAGAGGTTGTTTGTGTAATGAGAAGTAAGGGAATCATATCCAGTATGTCAAAGAAAGAAACCAATTTCACTTAAGAAATTTAAACCTATTATTAGAATTCCTTTTAATGCTATCTATATACCTTCATCTTTAGGAGTTCTTGGGAATTTTCTTCTAGTATCTAAACTTCTCTGTGTGTATAAAGGCATGTTAACAAACTATATGCCCATTTCGGAGCTCAAGTATTTGTGATGGAAATTATGGTAGACTAGCATAGGACGTACTTTTTGTGTATATATTTAGAAAAATACCATGCAAATTTTTTATACATTCACAAGTTTCTTCCACTTCATTTCCTGCCCATGTTCCAGATAAATATAGTATCATATATCTCAGCCTCAAACTGCACATGTATTCTGGAAAACATTTACATATTCTGGTGATTTACCTTCAAATTCATGTAGGGTAAAATTCTGATTTAGGGTGTAAATTTTAGACTCAGGCTGGCTGGGTTTAAATCCCGGCCATGCCACGTGTATATATTCTTGAGATAAATCCAACAACTACTGAGCCTCAGTTTTCTTGTTTAAAACAAGAGAGTAAACATGGTACCTCCTTGATAGGATTTCTCTGAAGATGAAATAAGCTAATCTTCTTAAAGTACCATGAGCAGTGCCTGAAATACAATACTCAACAAATTATAGATAGTATAATTGATATTATGTTCCAGTGAGTTTAAGCCCCAGAACAATGTTCTGGTCTTAAAATCTACCCACATTGTTTAAATGTCCAAAGTATTTCCACCATTTTGGATCTCTGCTTCTTTCCATATTGTAATTAGCAGGGCCATATGACATCCTTTATCACCAAAGCTGTCTTCTTATAAACAAATGTAAATTGCAACATTTCTTTCCTCTTTTGTAAATGTGTTATAAACATTCAAACTTTACGCGTGTTTTTTTGAAATACCATATGTTTTCTTGCCTTGATCCAGCATTTACAGTGGAAATATCTTGCTCTGAGAGTATGAAGTCTAATCAGCTGTCCCACATTAATCACCCAGTTTGCTTCCCTGGTCTCGGCTCTGTCCCTGCTCTCCTGAAAACATTTGATTTTCAGGTTGCATTTTTTCCTTCCTGATTATCTTCTCCCCTCTTTTCAAGTCAGTGTGGAATAATTTCTCTGGATAATTTTTTTTTTCTGCCAAAATAGAGACCATTTAAATTAGTCCCTTGATTATGGAAAAGATGACAAATTTGAACAAGAATGACTTTGTCATTTCCTGTTATTTGCAACTGTTCTCATGAATGGTTTTCTGAAATCAAAAATAGCTAACAGGTAGGGAGTGAGAAGAGGAAATAGAATGACCTCTGGACACGACAAACCATTTTTTGGTAATCTTTATGTTTTCCCTTTGGGTGTCTCTTGAGGTTGACTATCTGTTGGGAAACTGCTGGCTCTTATTATCATCACTTTGAACAGCGGTGTAACTACATTATGTAAAGGTGTCCTGCATCCTGGGACCGGGGAAGAAGAGTCTTTGTTTTATTAGCCTGGCAGTTCACAGCAACTTGAATTGAAATTGATGTGATCAGAATGGCAGTGCCATATCTGCTGATTACCTAGGTAGAAAGAATATTGGCTGACACAGAACCTGGCACAAATGTTCCTTAAATCTGATTGTTCTGCCTAGCAGGAAGCTGAAAGCCATCCAGCCTGAGTTTCCCAGTAGAATTGCAATGAATGATGAGTGGTTAGAGATAAATGAAAAGTAAGAAAATCTATAGATGAATTAATAAGGAGGAGAGATGAGCAGTACGCAAGGTGAGGGTGACAGAGTATACACAGAGTTCACATCTGCTCACATATGGGGGTGACTGAGAAGGATGGCATTTATCCTTTGCTTCTACATGCCAACTGCCTGCTGTTCTTATGTGCTCTTTATACTGTGTTAGCAGAGGCGAACCGTGTAATGTGTGACTGTATGAGTCTGTGTATCGAGCATGTGTATTGTTGGTGAGTCTTTGTGGGAAATGCAGAGGGAAACACAGTTCTCATTAAAATCAATCATCTTATTCACTCACTCCTTGCAACCTTACGACAAATGTGGTTCTCTCTACGTTAGAACTGTATGTGTCTATGTGATGAGGTAGGGAAATGTTGGGGACAAAGTGTTGGAGGCCCATCTTACATGATTTAGTTATTGAAATACCAGAATTTCCCCTCAGTGTGAGTTGACCATTGGCCATGGACCCCATTCAAAAGAGTCAAGACACGTGAGCCAGGAAAGTAGGCTGCAGAGAAAAAAATGCTAGAGAGTGATTTTTGTTGCTGCAAGATCATACTAAATAGATGATATTTGGGGTACCATTATGTGCCAGGCACTTTATAAAGAACCTTTCATAATTATCTCATTCAGTCTGTATGTTCACTCTATGACACAGGGACTATAATCACGCCCATTTATAGGAAAATGGAGTCAGAGAGAATGCGATCATTTTTATAAGATTACAGAGCTAGTAAGTGGCAGAATTAGGATCTGAACCCTAATATGCAAACTCTTAGCTAGAAACCATTATGTGTGTCCAGAAAGATCAGTATTTAGGCTTGTATTTGATTGTGGCCGAGTAATAACCCTAAGATAGAAGCACACGAAAGAGCGGGATAAATAGTATTAGACTTGACCTAGCTATAGAGGAAACCAGACCGGAAGAAGAAAATGGTCTGAGGAAAAGCCGGCATAAACAGGATCAGCAGATGATCGCTGTGGACCTCTTCGCCATCCTCTGAACCAAGTCCTGAGCCTGCAGTTATAGGTGAATTCAGGCTATGTTATCCTGTGGCTCCCAATTTTGTCTGGTGGATATATTTGCGCAAGAGAATCCTAGAAATGAGTGTCCCCAAATTCTGTCATTCCTGAATAGCATAAATTCTCCAGTGGCACCATGTGGGATGGTCACAGAAGACAGCGTGCCTGATGGTGGCCGGAGCAAAAGAGATGTGCTGAGAGTGTCTGAGATGTGTGATTCCTAGTGTATTCCTCTGGTGTGGTGATGAGAGTGGATCTGACAGCTTTGGACAATATCCTCCCTCCTCTTGGAAGGAGGTATCAATTAATGATGATGAAGAGCCCTTTGGCTTAATGGACCACGACAGTTCACCCCAGCCAAGCGAAAGGGTTGTGTTGGGATTGAAGTCACCTGGCTGACAAATTCAGAAGGCACAGAATGTATGAGTGAGGCACAGTGAGCTGCATGAAAGACGCCACCAATGACCAATGCATGTTCTGTTACACACATAATGTCTTCTGTGCATTACGAACACCTTCTCTTTAAAAGAGAAGGCTCCATGGTTCTGATGATGTAGCTTACACCTTGATTCCTGGGAAAAGACTACCTCTTACAATCCAGCATAAGAGATA